TTCAATCTCACCTTCTTGTTCTTCGAGCCCATCTAATGGCTCAGCCATCTCCACAAGTTCCCAGCCTCCATTTCGTTCCACCAAGGTCGACCGGCAAACACCTTCACCTTGATCACGAAAGCCAGGAATGAACTGTAGACTCTGAAACTTTGTGCTGAGGTGCAGTCCGACCCAGAAGTTATCCTTCCTCTTCCAGCCATAGCCACTGTTGGCCATGCTTTCCAACTCACCTCCAAGCTTGACTCCCAGCGTGCGAATCACCATGGGCTCTGTGATGACTCGGATCGAAGCATCCACCACCAAGCTCTGATTCTGAAACGCTAACGGGACCTCCAAGCTTCCATTCTTGAGGCACTGCTTTCGTCCATCAATGGACCATCCACTCCTCATCAAGCGACCGAAAGAAAGAATCGGCTGGCTGACCATGTCACTAAACGTGACCTTCTCTTTCAGGACCACGCACTGGCCCTCGGACGTCACCATCATAATGTCCACGTCCTTGTTGCCATAGCTTTTGATCTTCTTGCCTTGGGCATCCTGTAAATGGGGTGCCTCCTGCAGTGTCCTATCGTTCACTATCTGCTCAAGGAACCTTCCTAGGAAGATCGACGCATCAGCACCTGAGTCGACAATCATTTTGAACGATTGCCTTTCTCCACCTTCTTCGTAGAGCTCCAAGTTCACCTCCTCATTATCGGTCTCGACTACCGTGTTCACCATGTAGCCGTCATACTCATTCTCATCATCGGAGGCGATGTTAAAAAATTCAACTTGGCTCACCATTCGAATTGCACCAGCATCATTCCCTTCTTTCAAATCGAAAATCACTGGTTGTGAAACTCGTCGAATGTTCTTAGCATTTGAATTCATCTCAACACCTCCATCACTTGTCAAGCTTGTTGTCAAAGTAGTCGAAGGTGAAATCGTGTGTGAACCTACAACGCTTTAGGTGGCTGTCGACTCCACCTGTCTCACACGCCAGCAATCTTTAGCCATGTGGCCCGGCTTGCCGCAGATCCAACACACCTCACTAGGATTCTTTCCCTTACCACCTTTTCCTTCCTTGCCACCACCCTTGCCTTTCCCATCTTTGCCACTAGATTTGCCGCCTTTTCCTTTACTCTTAGACTTGTCCTCTTTACCCTTGCCCTTCTGCTCCTTCGACTTGCTCTTGCCCTTCTTTCCATCACCTTTGATCCTGTCGACCTCCATTGGCATCGCACCATTGGGATCATTCATTGGACTCACTCCAGAAAAGGTCAAAGCACCTGACTCATTTCATTTGGTCGTAGCAGTATCAAAAGCGATAATTGCTTCCCTAATCTTTCCGTAGGAATTGCCTTCGTTCAGGGTCAAGTTTAAATGAGTTTTCATCTAGCCGGACACAGCTCTAAGCAAGACAGCGAATTTCATGTCCTAGAACAGCTTTCCACCAAGGCGCTCATACTGCAAGTAATATTCCTCCAACTTCAGGATTTGAGGCAGTAAAGAACTTTTCATGTTAAAACTCGGATAGGACATTATGCCCTGCAGCAAGTTCATTGTTCTGTTTCTAGCTTAAGGTTGACAATTCATCAATAGCTGCCTAAAGGCTTCCATGCCGTTGAACTTCTCCACATTCTTTATCACCCCAATCAACCTTCCTAGCACCAAATTTCCCAACAAATTATAGAGAAATCGACTCCGCTACTGTTCACCTTCATCTAAGAGCTCCCAATCCACCTCTATTCCAAGGTTAGCCTCAAGCTTCTCCAGCTCTTCCTAAAAGGCATTGTCCACCACCACCAGGTACTACTTAATCGTCCAGTACCAGTCTCTCCATTGCAAGACCTCCTACTCCCGATCGATGGGGTTGAAGGTATCGGATCTCGGTATCAGCTTGGCCAAATCCTTTTTCAACACTCCATACTCTTCACCTTGTCCTCCTGCTTGTCCACTCGACGCCGCCGCCTACGCTGCTTAACCAGCTGCAGTCGCAGCAGCTATGACAGCTTGTGTAAGGCCGCTCATCTCCGACTAGTCCATCGTGTTTTAGTGCTCTCCAGCCAGTAGAACCTCCTGTAGTCCAAGGGCGTCGAAGGTAAGGATTTCCTTCAAGTACTCTCAGGCAAGGATTGCGAGAACGTGCTACACCAGTTTATTGGGTGGCTCGGCGGGTGGCGCGCTCAAACAAAGGCCTTTAAATTGGAGCTCCAATCAGCACCAAACCTTAAATACTAACCTTTTCAGCTCCGCTACCATACGAGCTTTTTTCGAACCTCAAAGGCCTATATGTCGGTTGTTTATATAGGTCGTTTCAAGGTACGGAATCAAGTAGCTTTGTTTACGCAATTATTAATATTTTTTTAATTTAATATATATATGTTATATTAATAATTATTAATAAATTTATATAATTATAAAATCTAATAAAATATATTTAATTTTTATATATAAAATAATAATAATAATATAAAAGTATTGAGAATGAATATCAATAAATTTATCAAATAATTGCATTTCCATAATATCCCCGGATCATCCTGCACAACATCCATCGGAAATCCATACCGCAACCTGTCGTTGTATCCCCAGAAAGCATGTGTTCATTGCCCTCGGGTTATATGTGTCCTGCAACATGTCGATCTTCCTGCGCAGCCTTCCATAATATCATGTTGAAATGAAGCCTTTCTGTGTCGGTTGGCGAGTGCAATAACTTTCAACAGCTGAGACAGCTGGGACTTTTTGGTACAAACCGACCTAAAAAGCATTAGCACTTCTTCAGCTGAAAGCTTAAGCTTTCGCGCTTTCGCACGCGTCTAAACAACGAACCTTTCGTGCGTTCAACGACTTTGAGGCCAAAACCAGGGTGGGACTGGAATTGAAAGAAGCAGCGACCATGAATGAGGTGTGTTTGAATCAAGCTCTGCAAGGCAGTGAGGTTGTTGCATTAAGGCTACATTTGGGCTGACGGCATCGTGATTCCTCCGACTCCAAAAGCAAGTGCATTGAAGCCCCGCACTCTGAAACAAGTACTTGACCTTTTTGGACCTAGCCTCCCCTCACAAATGGGCAGGGTCAGTCTAGTAGCTACGAAAGCTCATTCTACCATCGCTCTTCTCCATGAGCCCAGGTTGAGCGGCTTTGTCATTTCCCCACAGGGATCGAAGATATCTCACAGATCTCCGGTTGTGCAAACAAAACTAGTTCTGGAAAATTGTGTAGACCAAGAACGGTCTCTTGAAATGAGAAAGAGGCTGTGCGCGAAACAAGTCTAAATGGTCCAATTCTCCTTCGTGCTCTTTTCAGCCTACTAAGGTCATTCCAAGGACACACAATCACCCCAACATTGTGAGGCTTGCATAAGCATATCAGAGTCAGCAGAAATGTCTGCACCTGGTTTGAGCTCTCCATGGAAGAAGTCAATTCAGCGTTCAAATGCATCAAACCGGACTCCAGAGTCGCGGGAGAGTGCCAATGGGAGCCGAATCAGTGAGTTCAATTGACTCTGTTGACTCGTGCTCACACGATCTTCGGATTCACCTTGTCCAACATGGACTAGATCCAGCACATGACAGCGTGCTGGCCTGAGGTCTGGATCCGTCAAATAGGGATTGTTTGCCAGCCTCAGTCCAACTTACCTCAAAAATTTGATGATGAATTCCATTCTGAATTCCACCAAGAGCCTCGATTCCACCTAAAGTGAATTATGGATGCGAGTCCCTCCTCGCTATGCTGGTGCCGGCTGGTGTGCAACACGAAGTTCGAATCCCACACCCTCAGCACCTTGTAACTCGAGGAGCCCAGCAAACTCATGCAGTGCTACTTCTCGACATCAGAAAGAACGTCAATGAGGCCCTGTGGCTTCTTCACACAACCGTGGTGGCCACTTGAAAAGCGCTGAAATCAGTTTTAGCCGGAAGCTCCTGCAGCTACTTGGAGTTTCAGTTCAACATCAGTGCTCACCAGCTCTGGATGACGTTGTGAAGCCCAAAGAACACTCCAGCTCACTTGCTTGTCGTGATATGCCTTCTGTAGACCTCATTTTTGTAGGTTGAAGCAAAACTGCTTGGACGTGGAAAATTAAACATGTACTGGCACACTCTGCGGACATCCCTCTATCTGGCCTGCATGGACAACTTTGGATTTATGGCATGAACATATGCGAAAAGGCCAGCTAAAAGGACCCGACCTATCCCGCACTTGTTTGCCTCTCTTTGTGAGAAAGCAGGGCTTCGCACCCTCAATTCAAAACTTACCAAAATAAAGCACTTGGATGTGGATCTCTTGGTCCTCTGGGTTATTTGATGTTACTTGAAACCATGTCATCCTTCTTCTGATGCGGAAGCTGTACGCTCTTCGAGCGCAACAGTCGAACCCACATCAACTGACATCAACTCTTTGCTCACTGAATCCCTGCCACTATGCGTCCATATCCTCAGCAAGCACTTCAGGGCTTGGAATCTAATTCTTCGTCCGACTTGCAAGCTTGCGCTTGAACATGCTTTAACGATGATGTGATTTGGAACATCTCCAGGTCTTGTCTTGCAAATCACTTTTTAGTGGCAAGCTGCTGCACCGCTGCAGTCGATTATGACTTTGCTGAAGAATCTGAAGAGCTTGGGTCCTTGCATCTTCAAAAAGTGTGTGAATTGTCACGAATTGTCTGCATGGTTTGTACATGTTTGCACTGCTGCGTGTGTGATCCGACCAAACAGGTCCCGCTCACCGCAACCTCCCCGCTGGGTGGCCGCTCACCGCAACAGCGCAGCCCCCCAAACCCCAGACACCAAAAAGGTTACATAGATGTACGTCCACTGCCTGACCCTGGCCGTAGGCGTTTGTTTCACCACAACCCCAACGCATCGCCACTAACGTTCTTTTTTACGGTCTGACTCTCTGACCCAAACCTAGATGGTAGTAGCTTCTTGCTACTAGTAGTAATAGCCTCCACCCTAGTAGCGATGGCCTCCACCTAGTAGCTTCTTGCTACTAGTACGTGCTCTCGGGATCTCTCCTGTCTATTCCCTCAAGAACTTGTAAGGCATCTCGAACTGCACCGTATCCATGCCGACTGCAAGCCAGGCGGACAAGCACCGATGGCTCCTGAAACTGGATGCATGATCAGGAAGGCTGAGTGGGGGGTAGCTAGGCTCCAAGAAGGCTGCTCTCTCTCTCTCTCTAAATAATCATAGCCAACGTGGATGGCATGGTCCCGAAAGGATGACCATGAAATCCGAATACCAAACAGATGGTGTTCCCACTTGCATGATGATTTTAGGGAATTTTGAGCACCTAAGAGAAGCGAAAGCCAAAGAAATGGACCCAGAACCGATGCTGCTGGGAACGCCTTCCAAGACCCGCTAGCGCAATTTGGGCGCAACCGGTTTTTTCGAGATGTTGAGGGAGCCTTTTAGTGTTACATCACATGATGTTACATCGCAAGTGCACTTCATCGCTCCTTCTGCATGGCACGTGCTAATGCAATACGACACGGATGCCTTGCTGTGCTCATTGCGCAACTCACAACTGCCGCACCATATACGTCGGAGCCTTGGCAACGCGCAAGGAGTAAAAACGATGGCCTCCAACCTACTATAGCAATGGCCTCCAACCTACTATAGCGATGGCCGCCAACCTTAGAGCAATCTCCTCCAACCTGCTAGTGATGGCCTCCAACTTAAGAGCGATCCCTTTGTAATTACAAACCGTCATACAACAATCAATGACGGTTCCTTCTTTTCATTCCTGCCACATCTCACTGCACTGCATTGGGATCGAGCTGCTCAAGGCGGGAAGATGCTCCTCCAATGTCCAAAAGACTGTTCAAGACTATGTAAACTACCAGGTCTCGCTTTATATGACAGCAATACTAGTAGCATCTCATACTGCAATGCAATAAGGTGAAACTGGGTTCTGGGTATGGCTGAGTGAACCTGACTGATATGCTGAGATGAATGTGACTAACGGAGCTACTCCAGATCACTATATTGACCTCAGTAGGCACAATGAGCAAACATGGTTGGACATCTCCGTGAGGTCACGGTCAGGGCTAAAAAAGGTGGGTAGACCTATCGGCCACTTGGCTTCGACTTGGCACCTGTCCAATAGTTGCCAATCTCTTCCAGGGCTCCTCTATTCTTGGATCAAGCTGGAAGTGTAGGGCCTTCTGGGGTTTCTTACCCACACCTATGAACGAATCAACAAGGCAATCTTTCCAAGACCTTCAGAAGCGACCAAACCGCCCTCTCCTCTAGGACTCGGCACAAGTTGGGCACTGAGTCGACACAGTGCTGAAGAACATGTTGGATCACCTTGCGTCACGGAAAACTTATCTGGTGAAGTGTTGACATTTTCCTGAGACCAGTCCACACGGTCTGCGTGTGGAGCGCAACTGCATAAGGCAGCTCCAAGTACTACCATGTAGAAACACGCATCCTAGGAATCCTGAATCGAAGCACTCATATCTGCCACTCTCATTGCAGCCGACGTCACATAATTTCCATAGGCATGGCAGGAAATCGACTGCGCATCTCTGGTCAAAGCCTCCCTCGGAGCTTCAAGAATGCTTTTCAACACTGTTGCCAGCAGAAATGCCACTGTTGTCAGGTTTGATGTACAATCTGTCCCCTACAACTCAGGTTTGATCTACAATCTTTACCCTCACAACGGTATGTTTTTGCTACTTGGATGTCCCACGAACGGTCAATCCGATATTGGCTAAAATTAAAAAGCAGTGCTGCGGTGGGTGTCCCGGAGACCCTGTGTTTCTTGCTTTGTGCTGTCGTTTTCACTGTGCACAGCCCAAGGTGCAAGATATGCCTGGTCTGTTTTGCTGGACATCTCTCGATCAGGCGCTGCACAATCCTGCAAGCGTACCTTGAAGGAAGGGGAAAAAACAAAACAGGCAGGCAGGTGCAAGCTAGCAGCAGTCAGCAGTCTTCTGGCGCAAAGTAGTAACCTCTAACTTGCTCAAACTGGATATCTAGAAACAAGTGCATCGCTATTAGTCCAAGTTCTTGGACAACTCTATGCTTCCAAGGCTCTTGTGCCTTGCTGCTTGCGACACTAGCTGCTGACGCACCAGGACATCCACAATGAACTGTACATGATTGGGATGCATGACCTCATATAAACAGACCACATTCCAATGTAATTAATCTGATGTTGGGATCAACCTTTTTTTAGAACAGCCCCTCATTCCAACCTTCACCCTTCCGTGGCCCAAAAAACCTACATGTGCCTTTTTTCCCTGCACAATGACGATCCAGAACTACACAGAGTTGTGCCATTCCTCTCGTCTTCCAAGGAACGAGAATGCATTTCTGCAACACATGATTGGCGTGGGGCCCACACGCAGCGTCCCAAACCTCGGTCGGGAACGAACGTACAAGCGGAAGAAAAAGCCAGCGAGCGTCGGTCTCCTTGTTCCGGGGCGTTCGGCCAATCGAAGAAAATGGTGGTAGGAAGGTAGCACCGTGTCAACCCAAAGGTTCTAAAAAGAACATGGCCGCGGCAGACTGCAACACATTGACATCAAACGCACACGAGTCCTTACGCAAGCATAATGGACATTGACCTTATGAGTGTCGTGTCGGTCAAAAAACAACAGGGTGTGTATATATATATATAATCATTAGTGGCGTAAAATAGGGCCGGTTGCAGATGCTGATAGCTGATGGCTTTGTCAGGCTTTGTGAATTGACGAGGAGAGTGCTTTGTGACTTGACATAGATGTCATATGTCGTTTCAGGTTGGGTGACAGGTGCTGTTCACTCAAGTAAGCTGTATCGGGTGTTCGCACGCAAGGTTTCGCTGCGAAGAGCTGACTGCAGAGAGCCTGCCTTGGCATTGGCTTGTGGTGTTTGGAGTTTAGGGAACCTCCCCACACGAACGGGTTGAAGTCTATGTTCCTTCTTCCAGGGGGTCAAACGGTGGGGCTCTCCCAATTCTACATGCATTTAATTGCAATGACTTTAAGATATGCACCGAGCAAGCACACTCGAGTTCCTCAGGTTTGCCTTTGGAAAGCTAAAAGCCTGGCTTTGGGCAGCATCTTGCCTAGATCGCAATCTTCCAAGCTGGTGGCATGATCTAATATTTCCTCCAGATTGTGGATCATTGTGGCTTTGCTATGTCTGCTTGCTAGGGAGTTCTATGGTATGTCTTTAGAGTTGCATGTATGTATGTTGCCACAAAGCAACCGGTTCTGATGGCTGCGCTGCTGCGCTGGACTGGTTGCTGCTGATAGGCCAATTCGCAGGACTGGGTTGCGAATGAAGAGCGCTCTTCCATTAATCGCGTGTTGATGTGTCAGACGGATGCAGCTCTTTTCTCAGAACTGCCACGTCAGAAGACAGAGCCTGACACCAGCATGTCAGAGAATCCACGCAATCTGTCTGGTGTGGCACGGAAATGCAAGGAACACAAGTCGCTTGAATTGCTTGATTGTATAAATGTTGCTTGCACTCATCCAGGTCAAGGCTTAGTTTGTTTGGAGGATCCAGTTGAAAGAAAGAAAACATCAATCCACCATCTGCATGCCAGTCGTGGCCTCCATCCATTCCACGGGGTGAGATGTTGCCTTTAATTGACATGTGAAAAAACGCTTTTCGCAACTAACGTTGTGCAGCCAAGAGGCATGATCCTGAAGTTCTGCAGCTATTCTCCAGCGACTCTCTTCATCTGCCATCTCAATTGCAAGTTGGACTTCCCGACAGCCTGCAGCATCCTGGGAATACTCCCAAACTCGGCCAAAGACAGAGATGCCGACAGGTGTATAGTCCCCTCTTCGAGTTGTTGCTTCTGCCTGGGCCTTTGTGGAAGCGCTTTCATAGAAGACCTTGGCACTCACCTGTTTGGGACGCAGGTCGTCTGGCAAGAAACTGGACCATGGAGCCGAATCCTGCTCTAGGCGGCCGGGCAGCACCTTCACTGGGAAGGGCTGACATGCATGCATTCTGCAGGCTGACAGGATGGCCTGAATCGGAAATGGCTGCCAAAATGCCAGGTGATTCGAAAGAGATGCCAGCCGTTTTTTGGAATTTCATGAAGCTACAAGCGTGCTGCATGCATTGAACACGTTCGTTGGAAAATCCAATCATTTGCACGATCCTGCATGAATTGTGAGCAAACTACCAGGTGACTACCACAAATCCGACACGGACACTTTTTCCAGTGCTGAACGCAGCCAGAAAAGCATGGTTTTGCCAACGGCCTCAGTGGCACCAATGCCCACGTGAATACTGTATAGTTAATAATAGAAAACACTACGCAAATGACAAAATAACACCGTGACATGAAAACTGATCATACGGACCCTCATATGATAGCATTATATGATATGGCATTATATAGATTATATCGCTCACACCTTGTCTCACTTCGCTCTTGGTGCAGTATGTTTGGTGCTTTGGAGCCGGACAAAGAGCCCTGGGGCCTCTCCTGCGCACACGCTGGAGCACGCTGGAGCTGGCTTTGGCCACAGCTTGACCATGTTTTACCGACCTCAAAAGATGTCCGCGCTGCAAGGTGATGAGCCCCGGGTCTTAGGCCGTCTTCGGTGGAAGAAGCCGAGAAGCCAAACACTACCGCGGTGTGCCGTGAACATGTTCACATTTCGCTTGGGCAGGTGGAGTGGGCCAGGAGGAACAGGATGGCATGCGAACAAAATGGTCAACCTAGCTAGTAGATTGGGCCTGCACCTTTGGTCAGCCCAGAGCAGATCAAATTCTGTTGAGAACCCAACAATCCTCGAAAGAGCTGGGATGTTCCGCCAATGAGGTGGACAGCAGCCTCAACGATGTGCTGGCACAAGTCACCAGTACACTCCATCATCACAATGTGGAGCCTCTATGTTCAGGCGTGCCAGGAGAACCTGTGAGGGAACAATCCCTAGGATGATCACCTGATCACCTAGGACGTCATGGCAGCGGACAAGCACATGGACTTCATGCAATTTCACATGACAACCTCATGGATGGATGTCCACCAGCTACCACGGTGCCTCTTTTGCGCTCCAGATCTTTACTGTGATACAAGAGAACCCACGACTCAGGAAAGAGATGGAAAGAGCTTCTCGAAAGAGATGAAGTGAAACTAAACAGTTTGGAGGCAAAGGTCCATGACGTGCAGAGTCAGCCTTTTTCATCCTTTTTCCAAATTTGGCCTGGCAGCAACACTGCGAAGGGGAGCTGGAGGAATGAAGCATAAGGAGTCAGTTTAGCACATAAACTTTATGATCTGACACCGATGGAACAATTTGAGCAGCTTTAAGATTTGCCTTTAGATTTCAATGCAAATACCACAATCGGCGAGGCCGAATGCGGTCCTCGAGCTGGGAGCACCTCTCGACCTGACAGAGTACCTGACAGAGTACCGACAGGGCGTCCTTGGAGAACTCCAAGATCGGTCGAAAAAGGAATCGGATGGAATCGGTATGAATCGGTCAATCGAGTCAATCCAGATTTTGGCAAGTGCTAGCAACGATCGACCACCACTACAACTCAGGGCTCAATGCGCAGGATGGGGATAGGGAGATGTAGCCCCTTGATTGACAAATCCGCAGACAGGTTTTACAATCCAAATGGGCGCTCGAGTGTTCGTGTGTGCTCCACCAGACTTTGCAGGTCCCAGAAGACGCCTCCAAAGCCGAAAAGATGTTTGGCGCTTCGACTTCTTCGCAACGTGCAACGCGGACGTCTTTGGAAGAATACGGAGGCAATACGGAGGCCTGGACACCGAAACGAAAAAGGAGATCGAGGTGTCCAGGGAGGGAGCGACCTGCCACGGTGAAAGCGCAATGACCTGGGGCAGTGTGCCGAAGCGAAGTTGGTGGCCTGGACATGGGGCCTCCAACGCTGTGATCACAGTGTAGTGCTTGAAGGCTCGGTTTGGGTGATTGAATGCAGAAACCACACGAAGCGATGGGCGCAGACCGTCTTCGGATCCTTTTGCCACAAGTTCTTTATGGATGGCACTCGCAAATCAAGACATGTACCGACTTGAAGCTGAAGCTGCTTTTAGCTTAAACAGGAGCGCTGCTTCGCAAGGACTTGTCTAAACTCCAGCTACTACTAGTCATGACCCTCTTCAAGCCGATGAAGTACTCCGTGAAAGCCCCTGATGAATTTCTGAATGTACAAGAGTGAATTGAAAACTCTTCATTGTTAGACTTTGCAGCTGGCTGCTCCTCTCGCCTGATTCTCCAAAAGGTTCGCCGCCATCGGGTAAGCCTGAAACAAGCTCGGCTGACTTGACGCGCTTGGACTCCACACACAGGAATCTTCATGCAATGGAAGTCCTCACATGTGATGTGGCACCTTCTAATTTCAACATTTTTGACCGAACCCCTTCACACCCGGCGCGGGGTATAGACCTGGTCTTTCGTCCGAATCAAACCCCAGGCCAAAGTCTATGGCAGACTGGCGGTCTGCATGGTTGGAGCGTAGACAAAGCTGAAAGGTTTACTCAACTCTTGTGTTTCGGACCATAAAGACCGGACTTTTGCCGCACCCTTAGCTTCAGGCGTTAGACCAAAGTGGACTCCCTAAGCCCGCGGTTCAGGGTGGACTCTGGAAAGGCATCGGCACCCAACTGGACCGTCTCTGGCAGCACCACGTCGCGTAAGGAGCTGCAACCGTGGAAGGCTTTCCTTCCAAGCCGCAAGCTGTGAACAGATGTGGGGATCCTCACAGTTTTCAAAGCGTTGCAGCGGTTGAAGGCGAAATCTCCAATGTGAGTCAGGGACTTGGGGAGAGTCACCTCTGTCAACAAGCTACAAAGTTGGAACGCGGCGCCTCCAATGTGAGTCAAAGAGTCTGGAAATCTCAAGTCTGTCAAAGAGTTGCAGCGGCTGAAGGAATAATCCCCAATGTGAGTCAAAGAGCTTGGAAATGTCAAGTCTCTCAAGGAGCTGCAGTTCTCAAAGGCGCCCGTTCCGATTCGCGTCAGTGTATCGGGAAGGTTCACTTTCACCAGTGCCCGACAAGCTTTAAAGGCTCCAGTTTCAATCCGAGTCAAAGACCTGGGGATGGTCACTTCCGTCAAACAGCAGCCGGCAAAGGCACCATCTCCAAGGCGGGTGACCGAACAGGGGATGGTGACGTTCGACAGCGCCAGGCAGTCTTGAAAGGCTCCGACTCCAAGATCAGTCACTGAATGCGGGATGTTCAGCTCGGCCAGCGAGCTGCAGTCTGCAAAAGCACGAAGTCCAATGGAAACCACGGTATCGGGAATCTCCACCTTCACCAATGCCTTGCAAAGGAAGAAGGTCAAATCCTCAATCTGAGCCACACCATCGGGGATCGTCACAGAAGCCAAGGAGCAGCAGCCAGTGAAGGCTCTTTGTCCGATGGAGGTCACTGTACTTGGAATTTCCACCTTCATCAGTTTTCCACAGCCTTGAAAGGCTTCGTTGGGAATCCGTGCCACCGAGCTCGGGATCGTCACAAAGACCAAGTCTTCCCTCGGAAAACCCGACTCGTCCCGGCCCATGGCGCACTTCACCGGTTTTGGTGCTTGGAAGACCACCTGCACCTGCCAATCCGAGTGAAGGCGGGTTTGGAGAGCTGCAACCACACCCCTTGGAACCCACGTTCATGGACGTTCTTAACATGTGCTGAAGTGGAATCGAAGTGGTCAACACACTTTTGCGTCCGTACGTTTTTACAAAAAACTGGCAACAGCTTACCATCCGACCGCTTCTTCAAAAGCACAAAATTACCAAATCAATGTTGTAGCATTCGGTAGCTCGCAATGGTTTGCAATCTTGGACTCTTCCTCACCTCTGCACCAGTAGAGATGCCTGCCTCAACGAGAGTTTTGGGAGTCTTCTGATCATCCACCAACAGTTCTTCTTGGAAGAAGAGCTCCACAGAGCTTAACTTTCGTGTGACCTCATCCCAACCCCGCAACTCCTTCAGGAGCTCCTTGAACTGCTGGAGGGTGGTCTCCTTAGATCTCTCTCTCTCTCTCTCTCCGAACAAGAATCACGGCTGCTGTCTTGTTTCACCAAGAGAACGACAAACACGACCTGCCTATGGCATATGCCCAGACCCCGACAAGCTCTTGAGTCGCTGGCATTCTTGATCCTCCCTCAGTGGGAGGCCCTTTTTCAGGCCATCCTCTGTGAGCTGTTGCTGGGTGCCCTAGTGTTGAGGAGCGCGAAACCTGGTGCGAATGAGGTGGTTTCGACATGTTTCTTGTAACATTGTATCTCATCGGTGGAATCCGTACATCAAAGACTCCGAATGGCTCTGCCAAATGGGCGGGAGCAGCGTGGCTCGGCAAGTGCTCGGATTTGCGTTGAGTGTGGTTGTGTCGGTGTGTCCAGGCACAACCTGTCGCACAAGTGACGAGCTGGGATGCTCAACTGGGCGGTTACTTCTGATGCGCCCACAGTGGACATCCCAATGAGAAACCGAACGCGACAAATTGAGCAAACTGGAAAAACACATGAAACACCTCAAAGGCACCGACTGCCGAAGACGAGAGACAAAAATGAGAAAAGCAAGTCTAGTCAAGGCTTTGGCATCTGGGATCACTTCCATTTCCTCCACCGTGCCGCTAAGGTGTCGCACTTCAATCTTCATGGCCGAACCGCTTCCGTTTCTTCACGCGGCCGCGGCCGAACCGCTTGAAGATCACCAGGGAGCGAGCGAGCCGCACCAAGCGGCGATCAAACACTGACCGGGGAGCTGAAGCCGAAATAGAGCTGTGCCGGGCCCCGATCTTCAGGTCCCTGTTCAGCTCTTTGAGACCTTTCAAATGGCCCTGGCACAAAGGAGGTCGACAAAAGGCCCTGATGATTGCTCTGCACAGTGCTGTGGTAAAAATAGAAGTAGACCAGATGTCCGCCAATTCTTCCACGTATTAACGTATTATGCCAAAGAAGACAATACACAAATGTCAAATGTTTCGCAACTCCACATCCATCCCCACGTGGAAGCTGTCTTAGCTACCGCTGTCTACACGACACCCGATCCGGCGACGCTACGGCCTTGAGGCCTTGAGGCCGGTGGACGTGTGGGGGGGACGTGTGGGACGTCATCAGCATCCAGGGGACGACCTGACCATGAGATGCCATGAGGGTGTCGTGCACAGGTTGAAACGCTTTGAACGTCACTAAGTCTACTATCAGAATGGCATATCTGGAATCGATCTGTTCTCTCGTGCTTGTTTCTTTTGGCGGTGCTCGGTTTCATGCTTCCAACACCGAAAGTGCCCGTATATGAACGAACAGTTCTATGCAAAGATCCACTGAAGTACATTGGACAGGAAAGAAAGCTAACTCGTTTGCAACGTGTTTCACCGGCAAAAGCAGCGATACCACCTCAAAGTTGTTTTCTCTCAGGTGGACATCCACCAAAGGCCCATTCTCAGAGTCAGGCATGCCTTTGGCACCCACCTGCACCGCTGCGAAGATTTCGTGGCAGGTGTCCTCCGGTCGGGCCTTGGCCCGGCCAGACCCTGCCGACTTCAGCACGAGTTGGGCCAGAAAATGGCGGCGTGCAGCCGGAAGAATTGGACCACTGCCCTTCGGGCCAGTTAAAGAGTGTATGTACATTAGGCTCGAAAGCCGCTTTAAAATTTCAGTCAGTCTGACAGCTGAAGAGCCGCAAGCACTTTGCTTGCTCAGCTTCAGCCAGTTGTTCCTGGAACTCGCCCTTTCTTCACACCGAGAAAAGCGCAACCTACAGGCCATCCGCACTCAGTCTGTTGGCATGCAGCTCTCCAACAGATCCCTCTCTGCTTCGCGGAGCTTTCCCAAGGGCCGAAGTCCTCACACCGTGCCGAGTTGCCAGAACATCGGTCCGTCTGAACATCGGTCGGTCTAGCACCTAGTCAGGTCGGTTCTGAGCCAGGTCCTTTGGGAAAACAAATAGGAGAAACGATCAAATGTTGGAAGAACACACAGGAATATGGGTAGCAATTCCTCATCGCACAAGGGTCAAAATGAAGAAGACAGCTTGGTATCACCAAGGATCTCTGCACCTCGTACCAACGCCGACCCTGGGACCTTTCTGTTGCATCTCCAGACATGCGCAGCGGTTTTCGACCTGCTTCATTGACCCAAGCACACAACTCTTCGATCCACAGGCGAACAGGTTCGTGAGCAACTTGCACTTGCTCAGCACATCTTTCGAGTAGTTGCTGCTCAGATTCTGTGAGCTTTCCCAAGCGCAAGTATCCTGAGATGCTAATCTACAAGAGGATGTAAAAAGAAAACTGAAACACGGTGTCTTTGCAAATGTGGCTAGGGAACACGGAGCACGTTACAAAAAAGACCTGATAATCAAAAGGGTTCATG